TTAGAAAGGAGCGATAACTTGGACGGCGTGCACGTGCTTCAAGTCCCAGCTGTGTCTTTGGCAAAGGGGCATGTCAGAGCTGATTTGGATCAGTGCCTTGACACAGTGGAACTTTCCAGCACAAGGCACGGTAAGGCAGGGGAATTCTTGGCATGGTGAAGAGTTCTGGTGGGGATAGAGTTCCTGCCGAGGAAATGCAGATTTGCATAACATGATTGGCCGATGTTAAATTATTCCCACGTGGCACCTGGCAATTGGCTCGCTAGCCGTATAAAAGGTTAGGGACGTTTCCGCCCTAGTTGGAGAACTCCGTGATTTCCCCTGGAGTGGAACTCCGGCAGCTTGATCACCTGCCAATGACTCCCGTTGACGAAGCCTTACGACGTATCCTCTGTGTTGCATGCCCGAGTTAGACCCGAGCTACCCGGTCTACAAGAGCTCCTCGATTAGCGACTAGAGATTAGAATTATTGCAACTACGATTGAAGTGTGAAGTCACTTCTTGCCTGCGCTGTATACGACTCTACAGTGTAAGTAAAGCCATCTCTGTTTTTCCAATTGATACGTGTCTCGTCTGTGCCTAATTCCACTCCGGTGATAGAGAGTACCCATCTGCCCGTCACGGGATTGCTGCCGCAACCCCAGCTATCGTTCCCGAGGATTCCCGATCCTCGGTCCCCCCTCGGCCCCCACAACTGTTACACCTGATTGGTTGATGTATGGTAAGTCACATCCCCTTTTAAATCATGATGCTTATTTTGTCAGTTGGCATTGTAAGTATTTGTCTGTATGGTGCAAGCCAGCATTGTGTTGGAACTTGCCACCCCCCTGCTCATCCTGCTAGCCATGCTCTGCACCTCTTCCAATTTGGATTCATTTTCATTGCAATGGCTGACCAGAATTGTACTTGGCATTCCAGATGATCACTCACTAGTGCCTGGTTCAGTGGAATTAATACTTTCCTAGCTCTGCCTGGAAGTACTTTGAACAATGCAACCTTAGCATAGCTTTTTCATGGAACCAGCACGCTGAGAGTTCTTGGTCCACATCTAGTTAACTAGTATACAAATCTTTTTCTCTTTAGCCATTTCCAAATGGATAAATTCTTAGTTTATAGCAATTCTTGTTATTTATTAGCCTGTAGTTGCATGAACTTGTGTTTTGGTAGTACATTTCTTCCCATTTTTGTCACTTCTGTGTTCAGGGTTTTCGAGTTCTTCCTGTAAAATAACTTAATCCTCCTCTGTATTGTTGCTACTTCCTACTGTGTTGTCATCAGCAAACTTCATTAGCATACTTCTGTCTTATGTGCCCAGGTTCTTAACGAAAACATGAAATAGGATTGATAACAGGACTGAAACTCCGCTAGTAGCATCCTTCCAGTATAGTAGTTCCCCGTTCAACACAACTTGTCGACATCTCTCTACCTTACCCACTATCTAGTTCTTGTACTAATTTCCATTTACACCATTTGAACTAATAAATTAGCACATCAAGTGCTTTACTGAAGTCCAGATACTTGAGATCTATTGCATCTCCTTTACCCAGAAAAATAGTAATCATATCAAGGAAAGATATTCTAAAATTCTATGTTTTGTATTGTCCCATTTTCCCAAATCTTTTTAATTATTTCCTTTGAAATTTGTTGCAAAGCCTTGCATGTGATTGATGTCTGACTG